GCGGCGGCGTGGCAGCAGCGGGAGGCCCCATTAACTAAAGTGGTGCTTCAGGTTAAGAACAGTTTCAGGTTAAGAACGGACCTCCGGAACGAATTAAGTACATAACTAGAGGTACCACTGTACTATTTACCTCTGGAAGAAAGCCACTAACAGATAAACCTCACTTGTAGTTAACAGTGAAATGCATCCCTTCTAGCACTGACACGCTGGAACCAATGTCTGAGTTGTGACTGGTCCAAGTCTACTTAGCAGAAGTGGCAAGCAAACAAATCAAGGAATGCCAGATTTATGATAAGTACTGAACCTTCAAGTCCAGCATATCCAGGAGCTAATCGCTGAACTGGAGTTTAACAGTCCATTTGCATCCTCATATAGGATCTCCAGAGATGTGCAAAATAGTGTGTGTCGAGTTCTTTAATGCTAGCAGCTTGCACACATCACAAGATGTCTCCTTGATAAATATTCATATGCCAGCCAACATCGTAGCATTCATTAGACTAGTCTTGCTGATGAGCCTGCTTTTCCTCAGGCAACGTTTCCCTCTTGGTTTATTAGTGTAAGATACAGATATGTGCCAAAATAACTGAGAGTAATGAAGCTGGCTGGCTAATACGACTGGCACACATTGTGTGATGGTGCAGACACTCAGGAGCGACCCCTTACCAGATATTAATGGTTGACATGTTTAATCAAATAATTGGTTAGCTTAATCAATTAAAAAATGTTGATCAACTAAGACAGGGGCCACCAACATTTTGGGACCAATGGCCACATTTCAGATTTTGGGAGAGCGCTGGAGGCACCAGTCACAAAAATATTTGCTATGGGGAGCGGGGAGCAGAGCATCACACACACACACACACACACACACACACACACAATGGCAGCCGCTTCTGTGCATAGTGTGAAAAGGGTCAGCTGCAAAAATGGCTTCCAACTCCTCTCACACACTGAGGATTGTCCAGAGAATTATAAAAGAAGAAGACCCTGCAACCTTAAAGGAAGCACACTGGCTTTTTGTGGTAGAGAAATAAAACCTGTCAGAAAGTGGTTGCTATTTCAGCTCCACAAGTCATGTTTTCAGAGTGAGAGGGGCCAGTTGATCTGAACCTCGCGGCTCAACCCCAAATGGAGGAAGGAAAGTGGCATTTAATGACATTTCTTCCTGCACCTGCTGCTCATTTTGAGAGAATGGGACTGATCAGCCATACCCTATAACTGGAGGAGGCAGAAATGTTCAGGTTTGATTTATTAAATCTCCGGATAAAAGGCAAGATAATTGGAGATGATCTGGTGATTAAAACTGCCCAAAATAGCAAAACAAAACAAAAATCACTGCAAAGGCGTGATATTTGACAAGGTGCCATAAGGCACCTTACTCTTGCAAAGCCAAGTTTATGGTATGTTTTAGAGCCACCTACTGGGTGCAGCGGGAATATTGGAACTGCATATAGCACTCTGAATTTTGTCCTTGACGCTTCTAGTTTTGGCATAGTTTTGGTTTAGTTTGCTTTCAGACAGAGGCTTTGGGAGTGTCATGCACAATATCACCAACAAACCATGGAGGAATTGTGATAATTCCTGTGCTTATCCGGCTAGTCCAAAGAACAGGCTGGGGACAAGGAGGATTAGTGCAAGTTTCAAAGTTCATTACAGGTGTGGGAGAAACTTGGTGTATCCCAGGGGTAGCCAACATGGTGCTATCCAATGTTGTTAGCCTACAAATCTCATCAGCCTCAGTCAGCATGCCCAATGGGCAGAGATAATGGGAGTTGGTCCAATAACACCTAGAGATAACTAGCTCTGGTATATTCACTGCATTTAAGAATTTAAAGCTGTCTGCAGATTGAGCAGTAATACCTTGCTCCACTATAGAAGCCAAACATCTATCTTGGATTTCATGAAAGCTCATTTTAATAAGCTCAGAGAATTGCTAGGTAGGGTTCTGTGGCTTGATAAAATAACAGGGAAAGGAACTCAAGATGTGTGGGCATTCCTGGAGGTGGTTGCTAAAAGCAAAGTCACGAAGAATTCCAGTGGGGAAGAAAAAAACAAGCTTGATCCTGTTTTGCAGGGCTCGCTGAAACTACAGTTTGCCAGTTTGTACATCACAGCAAACCATGGTTTGACAAATGAGGACATATTCTATTAAGGTGAACACATGAAAGGAGGAGACAGACACCTGTACACCACAGTTTTTTCCTGTTCCTCCAAGCTATGGTTTGGACTGGTTAGAAAACAAGTCTGTTCAAAAACAGCTAAACATTTTATAGGCACCTTGGTGTTTTGGGGTTTTTTTTTTAAACCGAACAAGTGAAAGAGTGTAACAACTGCTCAGAGGGTGAGGAATGAGTCAGCCAAACAGCATGATATCTGTCTCTGCTTCCAATTGTAGATGTTAACACCAACACCAATTCAATCCAGATACCAAATAAGTATCAGCACATAAGAATTCATATACAGGCTTAGCAAAAAAGTACAGATTTAATATGGGATTTAAATGTTTGCCATCCTTCAGAAAAGGGTGTCAAAGCAATTGTTAGCCCAGGTGTTTACTTACCTCTTAATTTATCTATTAATTTAACTGCTATGTTATTAGGTTCTTCGTAGCTGAAAGCCTACCTGTGGCTACTCAACAGAATCAGGTCACTGCAACAAAATGATACGTGTATGTCTGAGAGGGAGCCTTCAAAGCTCACCTCTCTCAGGAAGGAGCAGGCCAAGACTGAGCTACCATTATTATTATTATTATTATTATTATTATTATTATTATTATTATACCCCACCCATCCGGCTGGGTTGGCAACCAGCAGCTGTCAAGACCACAAGAGAATGGGCAAATTACATGTAGGTATCTGTTCCTCCAACCTTCTTGTCTTTCCATTCCATTCTCCTCCCCACCTAGCTTTCAGTTGTTTCCCTCCCAACATTTCACAAGTACACATTCCCAGCATGTTATCACTCCTGTCTCAGGGACATCTATGCTGGCTTGGTCATGTACACAGAGTGGAAAATGGCAGGATCCCCAAGGAAGTGCTCTAGGGGGAGACGGCTTCAGGCACCAGCCCCGTTGGCAGACCAACTCTGTGTTGCAAAGATGTCTGCCAACGTGGCATGAAGGTTGGCAACATCAACCCCACCGTGTGGGAATCCCTTACAGACGACTGCAGTCCCTAGAGACGGTCCTGTTGTGCAGCCACAGCAGTGACCAGAGGAGGAATGGCCGCTGGGAGGAGCATAGAGGGAAGAAATGCCATGGTGCATCTGCAACAGCACAACCAGACGCCTTCATCTGCCTCAGCTGCAACAAAACATGTCTCTCCTATATCGGAGAGGGTGCTGTAAGCTTCCAACAGTTTGACTTCGCCCCCCAAACACACTCCTCCATTGTCTCCTGAGGCAAATGAATGCCAACCCTCCCAACAGCCAATAAGCATTCTGGGGTCACTGGGCATGCTCAGTCCTCATTGGACAACTTTGGGGGTTTCCTACCACCGTAGAGGAATTTTATTTCTGAAGATTTTTTTGTACTTCTCCAAGCTTTGGAATTACCTCAGGTCTACATAACCAATAGGACTCAGCAGAGCCAGCCCACCAATGAGGTGGGATGAAGCACTCGCCTCACCTCTTCCACCACTGCTGGAATGCCCACCTCTCACCAGCAAGTGGCCTTGCCATGCCTCTTCTCTGCCCCTGGAACAGAGAAAAGGAGCAGCAGCAGTGCCTTGAGGAGCACCCCAACTCTCCCCAAGTTTAGGGGGACACACATTCTGGCAACGGCAGAAGTGAGGGGGCAGCGGGAGGATAATTTCAATTTCACCACAGGTGGCAAAATGGGCCACCCCTGGAACTCAAGATAACTGAATCAGAATTACCACAAAGCAGGGATGGGAAACGTGTGACCCTCCAGATATTGATGGACTACAACTTCCATCATCCCTAAAGCTGCCTAAGGCTGATGGGCTTTGGAGTCTATCATCATCTGGAGGGCAACAGGTACCCCATGCTTGGAATAAAAAAAATAAGCAAGATTCTTCTGAAAGTTCCTCTTCAATCTGTCTCTAGTCTAAGGGTAGGATAGATGCAACTACCACAAGAGTTACCAAATGCCATCATTATATATCTTTGGTGCTGGGCAAAAAACTTTCCTCTATAACCAGGCCTTTTGTGTTTTTAATGTATTTTTTTGGGGGGTGGGTCCTTTGTCTGTCTGCTTGTAAGTTGTTTTGGGTCGCTCTGGGGGAAGAAAAAGCAACCAAGCAATTTAATGACTAATGATAATAATGTAGATGGCACTTGTCCCTTTGTATACAGGTTAAGAAGCTCAGTGTGCACATAAAGCCTTTGCAATACTAGGCATAAAAATATTGTGTTAATGAATTTCTGTTCTCTGAAAGAATGTTATTTGTAGCACACTCCCAGCTACTAAGAACATTAAGTGGCTCAAGCGCTCCATCACATGGACAAACCGGGGTTTCATTTTGCAATTAAGATGCATCACAACAACTGGCTAGAAATTCTCACCAGCGTCAACAAGCATTAAAGGCTAAAGAGTGGGAAGATTTTAGCCAGGTATCTTAAAAAGCCAGGAGACCTTTGAGCACAGAAGAGAAAGCCAGAGGTGCTGAAAACTCCTCAGGGCAGTAGCGTCCAAAGCTCTGAACAGGGGCAGCCAAAATGCTTTTCTTATGGATGCAGAGCATGTTGGAGGGAGTCCCATTGTGCAAGCAGAAATCCTTGCATTGATGGGACACGGTGGTTGAATCCTGCCCCATTTGTCCATCCAGTCAAGCACTGTGTACTTTGATTGGCAGAATCTCACACCTTTTCCACCACTCGCTTTTATCTGGAAATGCCAGAGATTGGGCCTGCGTGCCCTGAATGTGGCCTGCCACAGGGCGACGGTACCTTCAAACAGTACATCAGAGCTGACACAAAAGTAATATGCACTATTATTTGTGAAATAAGAGGAAAAGTTGCAACATGAAAACCACAGGTGGTAGAGGATGTTCCAGCAAATTTTATTTGTGCCGCTGTATATTTTTCTAAACAAAAGGAACACCAAACCAGGAAGCTTTTTCTTCTGTCCCTCTTTAGTACACCTGTCCTCCTCACATACTGAGGGCCCTTATTACGGTAATTTCTTTGGTCGCAGGACAGACTCTCCTACAGCTGCAAACGGGTTGCGAGAATACATCTGGCTCACAAGAATGAGCAGGTAAAGCTGCTTGTAGGCATTTAAAAAATGATGGGCTCTGTCATGAAGTTTCTATATAATCCATCTTGTGTTATGTTTTACTCATTTGCTGTAGGCCCTGGAAGAGCAAAGGAATAACCAGCCCTTACACAGGTCTGTTATAAGATGCGTTGTGGATGCCTGGATCCAGCAACGTAATTGATTTGCATCCTTGTGAAGACCTCTGGCCATTTGGCCATTCGCACTGCAATTATGATCTGGGATCCATTGAACCATCCGGACATCCTTATTCAAATAGGAATACCCATCCTTATGTACAGTCACTAGATTGACTAGAGCTGGATTGGGGACAAAGACTGAAATGCCCTTGGTAACGCAAAAGGGCTAAGAAATATTAAAAGCCGAAATGGACTCGACTATTCATCAAACAGGGTTGGCTTGATTGAAACCTTTTCAGATATTCAACCTCAACTTTTCTTTCTTTCCCCCATTCACTACTGTGGCCAGCCAGTTTCTGGCTTTGATGCTTACAAGTACATGCTGTATAAGGAAGTTGCTTTAACAAAAACCAGAAAATTCTGATATTGTATTGTGACGTCTACTCAAGAGATATTATAGGACACATAGTCAACTACACAGCGCTCATGCAGTCAGAGCTACAGTGAACAGATGGCCAAAGTTTCCAGCCAGAAGTCTTCAGGCTCTATGATTAGGCCTCCTGGAGCACGTTATGGCAGAACCTGGACTTGTTTCGAGTAAGAAAATAAAGTGTTAAAACAGCCAGTTGTCATATTCCTTTTCTGAAGTACACATAAACGTTCTTTATAAGTTACATGAATTTAAACCATGTTTCGTTGCAAAAAATAGTTGAATTAACAGAAACCTCTATTGAAAAGGTTAAAATGAAATAATCTTATGCCAGGGAAGGAACTCACCCTTCCCTGTCCTGCAGAAGTAATTGCTTATTTTTCTTATTTACTCCTTCCGTGTCCTCTCTTCAAGGAACTCAAAGCTACAAGCATGACACCTGCTGCCCAAAATTATCACAAGAACCCTGTGAGGTAGGTGCAGCAGAAAGTTTGTGTGTGTGTGACTGTCCCAAGGTCACCTAGTGAGTTTCATAGCTGAAAAGCGATTTGGGCCCAGACCTCCACAGTTTCTATCCAAAACTCTATCCACTACGGCCATCTGCCTCTCTAAGGGCAATTCAGTCTAACTGTCCACACTGGTATAGCCCCGCTATTTTGAAATGTGGTGACAACAGTTAATGCAGCCATCAGCGCTACAACTATAGCTCTGCCATGCGCTGCAAATCTTTATGTCGTAGGAGAACTGTAGTTGGAAGGAACCACAAGGATCATCTAGTCCAACCCCCTGCAATGCAGGAATCTTTTTTGCCCAGCGTGGGGCTCGAACCCACAAGACAGGAATTAAGAGTCTCATGTTCTATCAACTACGCCATCCTAGGGATATGTTTACATACGACATGAATTCACCTCCAACTGAACTGAGCACTCGTTAACTGTATGCTGTATTGTTAATTGAAATAGTGTCCCCACCACCACAACAAGCAGTCAAGAAAATATATTATACTCTGTGGAGTGAGAATAATTTTTGCTATTCAGCGGAGTTTCCAACATACTGTATTGCTTTCAGCATGAAACAATCCAATTCAGTGCTTGCTTAAGACCAATCATGAAGATATGACAGTGTAAAAAAAAAACCTGCCTAACCAACCCCCGCCCCCCGCTCTTCCATTACTACTGAACCCTTTTCCATTTCTACATAGCTGCTGTTCTTAGTCACAGCAATGTGGCACAGCACAATGGGAGCTGCTTGTATGCCTGTACCCCTTGAAAGGCACATGCACAACGGCAAAACAACATGCCAAGGATACAGGCACCCTGATTTCAACTGAGCACTAAGCACATCTATTGCCTTTGGCTCTTGGTGTTATTTAGGTATCCCACTTTTCCTTCCAAGAGCAAAATGTGACATACATGAAGTATCCAAGTGGTTGTTTATCCACACCATGGACAAGACCCAGACCTATTTTTTATTATTATTTACTTAGCTTCAAAAAGTTAACTGCATTACGTGCCTTCAGTCCATATCCTGGCTAACTGCAGAAGGAAAGCCCTAAGACTCTGACTTTGCAAAATACCTGCTGGCTTTGGATACAGATTGGAAGACAATTTTCAAGCTTGCTTTCCTTCCTATTTGATACAAGGAGGAATGATCCTGGAGCGATCTCTGCTGGCTCCTCTGAAGGACTGGTCTAGCTCAGATGATCACAGCTCCAAGCCTTCTGCTTGCACATGAAACCTGTCTGCCTGAGCCACAATTAAACCAGGAAAGCTCCGATTAACCATAGCTTCCCGTCTCATTGAAACTTCAGTTACCTGCCTTGAAACAAGGCGGGTTATCAAACCCACTTCAGTATATGGTTTAATACCCTGGCTTATTCAGAAGCAGGTAGCTCTAGTTTCCCATTCAAATTGGAAACCACGGTTAATTAGAGCTGGCCTGCTTTAATCATAGCTCAGGAACGAGGGAAGGAACTGCTTGTATATGTAAAAGGCTTGTGCATATCTTGGCTTAGTAAGATTATATGGTTGCTCAAATGCATAGAGTGTGCATCTCAGCTCAATGAATCCAGAGAATGAAAGAACACTTTTTCAGTGCAACGAAAGCTTTAGTTATTACCGTGATTCAACACACAGCTGACCAAAGCAATTCTAAAGGGGGCGGCATGGGATAAAGGAGGGCACCATGGTGGAGGATCTGGCACTGCCTAACCCCTGTTGCTTGCTCTAGCCAGAAGGGGAGGGAAGTGGGAGAGGCACCATTCTCTTTCCTTTTCCCTCCCCATTAACATCAATGGGGGGGGGGCGGGGAGAGAATCACTATGTCTATTCCAGGACGCCTTCTGTGGGGCCATTCGATCCTGCAGATCCGAAGGCCTGCTGCAATCCACCCCGTTTCAAGCCCTACCGCAACACATCTTCAACACTACGTGTCCACTAACGGAGAATTTTAGGGGTGCACTGGGAGTGTAAGAACTGTTTTGCCAGTGGAACTCCTCTCCACCCACTGAGCAGCACTTACCCAGCATCCTAAGGTGGCTCGGGCCATCTTGAGGACTGCAGCCTTACTGCTCTACATAAAACAGCAAATTGAGGCTTGCACAAATGCCACAATTGTATTACTCAAAAACGGTTAAGTAGAAAAGTTGCATGAACTATCAAAGGGACTTTTGGTAAAGAGGACCCCCCCACACACACGCAGTCATTTACATCACCAACTGCAATAAATATGTCATATAAAAAACTTCATCATGTGCGGAAACATGGGAAAATGTTCCCAGAACCCTCTACTTCCAGTAGAAGAAATAGCAGCTTTTCAAGCAGGTAAGTGGCGCGTGAACATTTTTTGCAGCACTCGTCTTCTGAAGAAGGCAATCCTAGAAGTCAGCATCCAGAGTAAAAACGTTATCGTTGGTGTCAGCCATAACTGCAAAACGCTGATACTCCGAAACCCTCTTTTCAAAGAAATTGGTTTTCCCTTCCAGCGAGATGTTCTCCATGAAGTCAAAAGGGTTTTCTGCTTGAAAGACCTGAGAAAAAGCAAAGTTATTATTAAATTGCAGTTACTGGCCTAAGGAAGACAACATTCCTACAAATTCCTGGTAGATAACTGCTGGAGGCCTTTTCTACTGAGATAGTACTCCTTTCTCTTAATAACAAAAAAAAACAAACACCCTTCTATAACAAGGCCTTTGGCTGATTAAACAACTATGGCCTTTTAAATAAGTTTGAGGAGAAGGGTTTGTTGTTGTTATGTTAGCTGTTTTGTGCTTTTCTTTTGTATTTTTATGCTGTAAACCACCCTGTGATCTTGGGATGAAGGTAGGTATATAAATTTAATAAAAAAACAAGTAGAATAATTCTGCCCACAGCCTTGTCTGGGCACAAGCAAAGGCAACAAAGCTTTAATTCTTCTGCAGTTACTTATCTGCCTGCTATATGGCAGCTCCTGAATTAGCGTCACTCTCCCAGCACATCTATCACCTCTTCCACTTTCCCAAGCACTTTTACCAGAGCTAAATTTCATAACTGACAACACATATTCTGAGGCCATTTAGACAGAACGACAAGTCCCACTTTGGCATTACATGAACCAAGCCTGGGCGATGTATCAATCAATACATCGCTCAGGGCTGGTATGAGAATCAGAGCATGGTGTCTGCTTCACCCAGTGGTATATTGCAGGTGAAGCAGCCACTGCTTCAGAGTCATAATTTCTTAGACAATATTTTAATTTGACTTATTGGGCCCTAATGTCTGATACTCACATTTCAGTGAGTGTTCTATTGTCTCTTTTGTTGTTTTATTTTTACTTGTGTTCTTTTTTTTTACCATAGAGCGGTACCTTGGTTCTCGAACATAATCTGTTCTGCGAGTTCATTTGACTCCCAAAACCATTCAGAAACCAAGGCGCGGCTTCCGATTGGCTGCAGGAGCTTCCTGCACTCAATTTGTTGGACAACTAAGCCGTTCAGGAACCAAGGTACCACTGTACATTATTTGTTAACAAGATGTTACTTGTAACATTATGTTGCAAGCCACCCTGCACACTATTTATTTTGCTGCAGAAAGGTGGAATACAAATTTTCTCAAATAAATAAATGATACAAAACGATATAAATAAATAACACAATTAGTAAATAAGATGTACAGTATTTTGCAAGGTAACCTGACCAAAAAAAGACTAGTCAAAACATTCCTGGTTTTATTCTATGCATCGTATATTTTATTTCCAAGTGCTTACACAGCTCAGGCCCAACCCTGAAACAAATGACTATGGCAAAACTTACTAAGGCCCAACCCCACTTACCTGGGAGTAAGCCCCATTGAATTCAACAGGACTTACTTCTTAGAATACATGGTTAGGATTGCATTGTAAGGAGACTAGTGTTAAATGTTTATATCTTCCTGAGCTACCTTACCTTGGAGAAGCCCAGTTCCAGAAGTAACCGATCTGCTACAAACTCAATATATTGTTTCATCAGAGTGCAATTCATTCCAATTAAGCCAACTGGCAAGGCCTCTGTCAAAAACTCCTGTAAATTAGAAAAAGGTAAAATATTTTAGGAGGAGCACAATTCCAGCTGCTTAGGAATAACCCATTATAGTCTGATTACCATGTTAACAGAGGCCACTTTAAAGAGAGCCACAGCTACAACACATTGAGATCTGGAGATGTGTGTCAAGGTGCTCCATCCTGAAGCAACTGCAGTGACAAACAGTGACTGGTGCAAAAGTGAAGTAGAGCAGGCACCTGACTTCTTAAGAGGAATAGTATTTTGGATGCAGAAGAAGAAACCCGGAGACTCGTCTGCTCACCTGTTCAATTTCAACTGCATTGACAACAATCTCTCTGACTCTTTCTTCTGAAGGTTTATTCACTAAGTACTGAAACATTAGGCAGGCAAAGTTGCAATGGAGTCCCTGAAAAATGAGAATGAAATGGAAAATAAGGGACACTCACCTTGCTTCTACAAACCAGCAGCAAAAACTCTCTTTTTCCACTTTTATTTATGTATTTAGTGCATATATATATGTGTGTGTGTGTGTGTGTGTGTGTGTGCGCGTGCGCCTTAAATACATACATAAATATATCCATCCATCCTAAAGTAAACGTTAAAAGGGCCAAGCTTTTTACAGCAACACCCACCCACAATTTTAAAAACTGAATAGAACTAGCCAGAAGATATTGATAAGACAGCAATATAAAGCAGCAAAGAAGACAACAGGAGTCTCCTAACAACTCTCAGCACCCCTTGACAAACTATGGTCCCCAAGACTCTTTGGGGGAAGCCATGGCTGTTTAAAGTGGTATGATACTGCTTTAAATGTATAGTGCAGACAGGGCCAAGTTGGCTTCCAATCCACCCACCCTGATTTTTCAGATTTTAAAAATTTCAAGACAGCAACATGCATTATTAGTTGGGGGAAACACATCATTCTTATTAAAATGAGCTGTGCTTAATCTAAAGTGAGACATTTACACTATTTTAGTGTATTTAGTGTATTTATATAGTTTATTTTAGATACATTTACACTATTTATACATTTACACTATTTACACTATTTCAACAATTCAGATACTACTGGTTGTTGTTGTTTTTTAAAAAATCAAGCGGGGGGGATTTCTAGTATCTGTGACTCTTTTATTTGGACGGTTTTGCTTTCAGAGAACAAGACTGGACCCCATTTTGAACATCAACCCCCCCACACACATTACTTCATCTCGGCTAATGAGTTCATTGGAGAAAGTGAGGCCTGGCATCAGTCCTCTTTTCTTGAGCCAAAATATAGCCGCAAAAGAACCAGAGAAGAAGATCCCTTCGACGGCAGCAAAAGCAACCACTCTCTCGCCTGTTTCAGGGGAGATAAAAAAAAAACCACACACATTATGGTTACAAAGTTCAGACACCAACCCCTCAAACTGTAAAATAGAATGTTGCAACATATAAAAGGAGAGGAAATTCCAGTACAAATACAGTAACAATCTGCACTGAAAGCAACATAATTAACAAGAAAACAAAATATTTTTTAGAGAACACAAAAATCAAATGCAAAAATGCAGTATGAACTCGAGTGTCCCTCCTCTCCACAAACGCCCCAATCCTGGTAGTCTTAAGCATAATTTATAACCAGCTCATTCAACCACCTTCAGCCACAGGATAACACAAACCAACACCATAGCCCCTCCTTCCTGGTCTCCCACTCAGGTAGAGTCTTACTCTATACCAGTTCAGTTTCTTACACTGAGAGGTATTAAACAACTTTAGAACACTCAAAAACATTATTTCAACTAAGGCACGTATAGTGGAAATGCATTACTCAGAAGCAACCTACCAAAAGTGGCTTCCGTGTCTCTTATCCACCTCAGTGCCCAGTCAGCTTTCCTCTTGACGCACGGCATTGTTTCAATAGCATTAAATAAGAAGTCCCTGGAAAAAAACAAACCAAAAGGTAGCAAGAATCTGAGGCGCCAGTATCACGCCCGTGCATCGGACAATATGGGTGGTTCAGCTATGTTTTACCCAAAGCGGACCACTGAAATTAATGAACATAACTAAGCTAGGGCTATTAATTTCAACAGGTCTACTCAAGAGTAAAACGTAGTTGAATGCCACCCCAGGGCTGTGCAAGGCACCCCAGTACAGTCTGGAACCCAATTTGGTATCAGGCCCTATTCCAGCCAGATCACTCCGGGGCCCAGCCTAATCTGGGCCAAACTCAGATCCTGAACAGGATCAGGGCCTTGTGCAGCCCTAAGTGGCAAGAGGTGTGGGGAAAATGAGATGATACAAGCAGCCTCCTTCCACCGCCTCCCTGACCGCAAGTTTAAACAGGGTTTCACACAGCCGTATCTGAAGCAGGGGGTCACCCACAGATGGCGCAATCCTCTCGTAACAGATACATGATTAAATGATCTTCTGAATGTGTGCACGTTATGGCAAAACAAGAAGTTTCTGCATCTTGAAGAACGTTAAGGCACAAACCTTTTTCAGAACCTGCCTTCAAACTAGAAGGAAATATTTACTCGTTTCACCACTGAGTAATTTACAGCATGAGTGACAAGGCTATTTCATTTCAGCACATTAATTCTGAAGGAAAAGTCACCCTTTGGTCAACAGTGACTGGTGTGGTAGGACAGACTGGACACCTGTCCAGGTAAGCCACTAGTGAACTTAGTGACTGCTCTGTCTTTAAATAAATAAAAAAACCCATATGAACTGAGTAGGGGAGAGAGACGAAACCAGTATTCAACTGATTTCTACCTTTTTACCTCATTTCTCACATCCAGTCCCTTAATGGAAAAAGTTATTCACCGTTCTATCCTAGCTACACACATTTTCCATCTTTGTAATTTTGCACAATTTTATTCAGGGCTGCATGTATTCTGCGATTTCATTAAAGTGCTGTGTGAAGCCTTAATTGGTGCAGAATTCCCAGCATTTCAAGAATCATGATTTTAAAATCATGTTTCTAGTCCATATGACTGGCCATGAGCCTTGAAGGTGTTTTGTAGAATCTCGGAAGTTATATTTCTAGAGGTCAATGAGAGGGCCTCAATACCATGCAGTTCCTTGCTCTTTCTCATACTTACTTGAAGCTGAATTATTCAAATTAAACAAATGCATGCAGTTTCTTAACTTGTATCATTTATACAGAGGAAAGTTTTTTTTAAAAAAAAAAGTTCAATTTTGGATTACTCTGATGAATATTGGTTCCTATTTTTAAGCACAAAAACACATACTGCTCTGAGTTTAATGAAACTCCTGCTATGATAATGAGCTGCAATGAACCTTCGCCGCAAGCATACCTGTGAGGAGATTGGAAACGTCGGAATCATCTGAAAGAATGATTTGGCTCTGACTTCTCCTAACCATAAAGGGTAAAGGGAACCCAGACCATTAGGTTCAGTCATGGTGGACTCTGGGGTTGTGACGCTCATCTCGCTTTATTGGCCGAGGGAGCCGGCATACAGCTTCCGGGTCATGTGGCCAGCATGACTAAGCTGCTTCTGGTGAACCAGAGCAGCGCACAGAAACGACGTCTACCTTCCCACCAGAGCAGTACCTAGTTATCTACTTGCACTTTGACATGCTTTCGAACTGCTAGGTTGGCAGGAGCAGGGACCGAGCAACGGGAGCTCACCCCATCGCGGGGATTCGAACCGCCGACCCTCTGATCTGTGGTTTAACCCACAGCGCCACCTGCATCCTCTCCTAACCACAGTTTAGCTTTAAACAAACCACAATTTCCAAGCTGAGAAGTCGCAGTGAACTGTGGTTTGTTGAAAGGAAAAAGTAGATGTTTTTACCTCCTCCTCATAGAAGGAAAGGAGGAAAGTTAGAACCAAGTCCCACTGTGGCTTAATGCTATACAGTGGTACATCGGGTTACAGACGCTTCAGGTTACAGATGCTTCAGATTACAGACTCTGCTAACCCAGAAATAGTACCTCAGGTTAAGAACTTTGCTTCAGGATGAGAACAGAAATCGTGCCGCCGCGGCGCAGCAGCAGTGGGAGGCCCCATTAGCTAAAGTGGTACCTCAGGTTAAGAATAGTTTCAGGTTAAGAAGGGACCTCCAGAACGAATTAAGTTCTTAACCTGAGGTACCACTGTAGTGATCTCTCCTGTTATGTCTGAACCAGGACAGAGTCATTCAGTATGGAAAGAACACAATACAGAAATCCTCTATATTGTGGCAATACTTACGGTGATTACCTTTTCTCAGGATCCTTGATGTAAGTGTCTATTAATAAACTGTACATCTCTGAGTGAACATTTTCTATTAGTATCTGGAAGCCATAGAAACAGCGAGCTTCTGGGATCTGCACTTCCTGACTAAAACGTTCCACCTGACAAGAAAAGAAGGTTAGAGGTAATTCACACATATACATTCTTAACAACTCATAGAAGGGTGCATGATTCTACCATCACTGGAAAGTACTACATTTGATGTAGTTATCAGACGACAGGAAACTATGGCCAAGGGAATGGGTGTTTCCTATCAACACTTGGAGCTGCAATCCTCAAGTGCCAACTTATCTAAGGACCTTAAATATTTGAACTGCTTGCTCAAAACACTAATGGCAAATAAGCCTTGAGGTCAAATGCCAAAGTGTTTCATCAGCTTGACTGCAGGTGCTGAAATAGCAAATAAGGCAGGCAGCACAGGGTTAGAAAAGCAGCCCATAAAGTATCTTACCAGGTTTTCGTTCACAATTCCATCGCTGGCTGCAAAAAAAGCCAGGATATGTGAAATAAAGTATTTTTCTTCAGGTTTCAGTTTGTTCCAGTGAGGAAGATCCTTTGATAAGTCAACCTTTGTGAGGAAGAAGAAAAATTCATTGCAAATTTATACTTTAGTGGTTCATTAATAACTCTGTAAGACAAAAGAAACTCTTGAGGGAAATGAAATGGCAAATTCTTTATTTATTAATTTTCTATACTGTTTTTTCATCTGTAGATCTCAAGGCAGCTCACAACACAAAGATACAAGATAAGAACACAGAATACAAAAGAACAAGAGCAACAAAACCAAAACAAACCAATATTTACCAACCCGCCGCATTCATATAGTTCCTACAAAGCTTCTCTCCACGATGCCTTGTGCTTCATTTAAAGACATTTGCAAGGACTGGATAGTTTGCAAGTGGACAGGGAAAGAGGATGCCCATAACTTGTTCAAAGACATGTTATTAATTTTGTTATTATCACCACTCCTCCAAAAGTCGCGAAATGGCTAACAGAAATAACAAATAATAAACACGAAACCAATACAATTAAAAATGAATTAATTTAAGAAACAGTACACTAAATATGCCAGGATATCTGCGCTATCTATGATCATTTCTTGTTAACTGTTCCCTGCCCCACTGCAGGTGTAAATACAATCATTTCAGGAGTTATCATCAATCTATTATGGTAAAATTTTACAGGTGTATCTATCTAACATATATTGAGCTCTCAGTGTCACTGACTGCAATTTTTGTATCTTATTGCCATTCAGTTACCGCCTTACCATTTTCTCCTTTCTCTAGTCCACAAAAGCTTGTGCTGTAATAAATGTATTAAGAGTTTAAGGTGCCACATAATTCTTTTATTAATACGCTTAAAGTTCATCCACACTCAACAAGTCAGACACAAAAAGATGAACCAGCTGCTTCCAGAAAACTACCTAAAACAGCACATTATCAGTGGCCCATATCAGTGTTCAAATGCCTGTGAGAAGACAAATGTCTTTGCCTGGTGCCAAACAGATGACAATGACAGCACAACGTGAGCCTCTTTGGGGCAAGTGTTAGTTATGTATCTACAACTTTCAGCACCCTTTACAAGCTACAGCTCCCAGAATTCTTTGGGGGAAGCCATGACTTTTAAAGTGGTACAAGAGTGCCTTAAATGTATGGTGTGGTTGTGACATCGGTGAATGGAGTCAGTCTTTCGTCACCCTCTCTCCTAGCTGTCCCTAAAGTCTGGCTTTCCTAGGTCTCTTGACCCTTCCTTTCTTTTTATTCTCCGTTTACCTTCCCGCCAGTAAGCGGTCCCTATTTATCTACTTGCACCCGGGGGTGCTTTCGAACTGCTAGGTTGGCAGGCGCTGGGACCAAGCAACGGGAGCGCACCCCGCCGCGGGGATTCGAACCGCTGACCATGCGATTGGCAAGTCCTAGTCGCTGAGGTTTTACCCACAGCGCCACCCGCGTCCCAAGGGTGGTCATGATAGAGGAATATAAAAAGATGCATTCTGTGGAGAAGCTTTTCTTCTTCTCTCATAATACCAGAACAGGAGGTAATGCAATGAAGATGAATGTTGGAATATTCAAGGCAAAAAGGCGTATTTCTTCACACAGTGCCTAGTCAAAATATGGAATTCATTAAAAGATGTAGCTGTGGACACCAATTTGGGTGGCTTTAAAATGGAATTAGGCAAATTCTTAGAACTATCCATTAAGAATTATAGCAAATTCTAAGGCATTTGGAAGCCACTTGGGAACTGGATACCCAGCTGCCTCCTCTTCTGAAATGTCCTGAAATGTTTCAGAAACGTCTTGAAAGTGGTGTTGAACTACTCAAGTCGAGCATAGACTTAAGCTTGCTTTGTTTGCAACCCCATTGTCAATGTGGAAAAACTGTGACACCTCTAACACAGCAGGACACAGAATACACACCTGCACGCACAAACACATCCTTCCCTCTGCATGTTGCTACACTCACCTCTTCTGCTGTCCAGAAGGAAGCTTGTGCCTGCTTGTACATTTTCCAAATGTCTGGATACTGGATGGGGAAGATGACAAACCGGCGAGGGTTTTTCCTTAAAAGAGGCTCTTCGCCCGCTTTTAAACCATCCTCAGTCTCACCTGAAGACGGCAACAATCTCTAAAGCAAGAACACAACGAGTAGTCAATAACATCGGCCCAGAGATGGAAAGAAGATAAAAGTCTCAACCAGAGAAGAATGGCAGATTAAGTTGATGAATTATGCCGAAATGGCAAAAATGACCGGAAGAATCAAAAATCAGGAAGACCAAAATTTTAATAATGGGGGAAATTTATAATTTATCTTAAAAATAATTGTAAACAGTTAAAATAGTTAGTAGGATTGGAATAACACTTGTAGTTTAATGGTGAATTTTGAATATAACGGAGACGTAAAAGATCTGGATTATTATAAAAGATGCAGGAGTAAATGACTAACACTGGGACCCAGAAAGGGGAGGAGGGAAGTCCAGGAGATTCTTGGAAATCTTGTTTTTATAATGTATGTTGCATATGTGATTGTAAAACTTTATCTGAAGAACCAAATAAATTTTTTTTCAAAAAGTAAACGAGCCCAAGAGTCGTAGAGGGCGCGCTGGTTTTCTACGCCGCCTCGCTGAAAACTCAATGACGTATTATATAACCTAAGTTTTACTCGGAAGTCAGAGCCACGGAGCGCGGCGGAGTTGACTCCCGAGTAAGCGCGAGCATAGGATCGCGGCCCTGGAACTCGATCCTGCGTGCGCCTGCTCGGGTGTAAGGGCCTCCGGGTTCGACGGGGGCCTGATCCCCAGGAAAAGCGCGCACCCATCCGGGGAGATGGAGATCCCAATCTGCCCTGCTCACCTCGTCCCCCTGCGGCCTAGCAGCGCCGCACGACGCAGGGCGCTCCCGTTGCTCGCCCATGGCCCCGCAGCGGGCCCGGCCTGGGAGCAACGCCGGCGAGGGGAAGGCGGCGCCGACGACGGGGACCTGCGCGCAGCAGCAACCGGCGGACCTGCAAGGGCAGCGGCGTCGGAAGAGACCACGACTCGGAGGCTCCTCCTCCCGGAGGCGGGATTGTGTACGGCCGAAAGGGAAGGCAAATGCTCGCGCTTCCTCTGCAAAACTGAGTCTCTCCTCCTCGTCGTCCTTTAAGTCAAGGCGCAGACACAGCTCGAGACAAACAAAAGTTAAATTAATAAATAACCCGTCTGAATTCAGCGCTCCGCCTCAGTGGACGGGAAGAAGTTTAAGCTTAAAAAAATGTGAACTAGAAGGTATGTAAAAAATGTTTTAACATGCAATCGAGTTTGCATTATTCACCCATCAGCCATGGGTGCTTCAGTTGAGATTTCTGCATTGCTTGGGGTTTGGAATAGATGACAGTGGGGCTCCCTTCCAGTTCCAGAGATCTGTTATTATGCTAAACTGATCATCCGAGTGGATCTTGCTCCTTTAAGAGCACTTATTAGTTCTACCTGAAGATGCAGAGATTGAACTTGACCAAGCTTTTGAAGGACACCAGATTGGGCTGTGTACACGCCTATGTCTTTAAAACCCATTTTAAGCACATTTCAACCAACAGAGAATTACGGGCCCAGTAGTTTGTTAAGGAATTGTAGCTCTGTGAAGGTTAAACTACAGTGCCCAAAGTGCTTTGAAGGGATCAGAGTGGTCAAAACAAAAATGAATGGCAAAAAGCTCCCGAGGATCTCTCCAAATGGGGTGAATGGACAACAGAATGGCAAATGTGATTTCATATAAGTAATATATAGGAATAGAGTTTGAGCTGTTTTAAGTGCAGTAAACTTATGAGGATCTGGAAGCTGGCTCCTCTCATTGCTAGGTGGTCATTATTTCAATGGACAGCCTCTGTTGGAAAGCATCAGTTGCCAAGATAATATGCACAAAAGGATATTTGAAGATCACAAGGCATACAGAGAACATATCATCATCACCATCAAATCTTTTATTGGCATCACATACAAACATCCATAAGCAAATCAATACAGAATTCCTGCCTTCCCAGTGACACAAAACATTTGTCAAATGAAAGAGGCAAAGCAGTCTAACATTGCATCTCTAGGTCTCCAGGGAGATCAGACATCTGCAATGTGTTTCGACGACAAAAAACCAGATAAAGATATTTAGCCACTAACTTGGTGAGCTCCTGATTATTCCCCAATACAGTAATAGAAAATGTATGACCTCTAACTCTGGTTTCCATTTGGGATGCAGAGTTGATCTAGGAACTGCTGGCAGAGATAAACATATAGTTACATTTAAGAACCATATGTGTAAGAGTTTCCACCTGATGGTCTTCACGTGGGCAAATTCCTTCTCCTTCCACCGTTCCCGAGAACCGTCATTAGTGGAAGCATCGACTTGAGCTCTGCATTACTTGTGCAGTTTTTATTAGTTTTATCAGTTTTTATTCAGTTTTTATCAGCCTCAGTATTTTATCTACAACATTTGGCAGCTTTTCCTTAACTAATATATTCACAAAGCTTGAGTTAAAAGCTCAAGTTAAAAGTCTTAGAGAAAGTCCTGGAAAGTCTCGGGGAAAGCCTTAACTAGCTCCAGCTCGACTCAGTCTACCAACTAATTATCAGCAGGAGTGGCGATTAATTGCTCTATTTTGGGAGGAGGCCGAGCTTTCCGATTTACAGCAGAAATTAGTAGTGGCTGCATCTCCAGGGAAATGACTAGGAAAAAGAAGCAACTGGTCTCACTTCCACAAGTGAGCCTACAGCAGAAGTGCAAGCAGGGTAACTGGATGATTTCGTAAGAGGACAGAATTCAGAACCTACCACATCCAACAGAGCACATTCCCAGGTAGGTGAGGACGCTTTAATGGGTGGAGATCAGCCAGGGGAGAATGCTGAGACTAGCGCCCATGAACTATCCTATAAACTACTATCACAGAGGGCACCGCTCTATGCGGAAATACTCAAGGACCACTGTCTGCTGACTGCAAGGACAGTGGAGGAAATTAACAGCAAATTGGAAAAGGCAACGTCTCTTTTGACTGAGTTGGTGCTTCTGGTGACCAGAAATGGCTCCCTCAATTCTAAAGAGGCCGACCACAGCTTTGCCCTTCCCCATGACCATCGTGTACAGGGGTGTAACCGGTCTGGACTTGATAACGGAGAGACTACAAATAGTAAAAATAACAATAGTGAAAGTAGGGACCTAATCCTACAAAGCACTCAAGTAGCTCTCGATATATGCCTTATGAGGAACGGCTAAGGGAGCTGGGCATGTTTAGCCTGGAGAAGAGGAGGTTAAGGGGTGATATGATAGCCATGTTCAAATATATAAAAGGATGTCACATAGAGGAGGGAGAAAGGTTGTTTTCTGCTGCTCCAGAGAAGCGGACACAGAGCAATGGATCCAAACTACAAGAAAGAAGATTCCACCTAAACATTAGGAAGAACTTCCTGACAGTAAGAGCTGTTCGACAGTGGAATTTGCTGCCAAGGAGTGTGGTGGAGTCTCCTTCTTTGGAGGTCTTTAAGCAGAGGCTTGACAACCATATGTCAGGAGTGCTCTGATGGTGTTTCCTGTTTGTCAGGGGGTTGGACTCGATGGCCCTTGTGGTCTATTCCAACTCTATGATTCTATGATTCTATTCTATATATCCTTTCAATGGTAAGCTGCCTTACTGGAAATCAACTGACAGCATGAAGAGAAATTTTAAGCAGAGAACATATGGAAGAAGGCATGAGATTATATGTTAAAAGTAGCACTTGGTATTCGGCCTGGAGCCTCATTGGTAACCAAAGCGGCTCTTCTGAGGACTGGTATCCTGCGGTCTCTTTGGCATGCCTAGTAATCATTCTGCTGCACTTTGGATCAGTTGTCATTTCTGAACATTCAAAGGCAGGCCTATGGTGCAGTCTTGAGGTTAGTAGGGCATGTATCACAGTGGTCTGTTACTTGTTTATCAGGAGAGGGTGTAGCAGAAGTACCCTCTGGTTAGAAAAGAGACACTCCTGGCCACAAATAACACTCAAGCACCAAGGAGCAGAACATCCAAGGAGGAGGAACTGCAGTGACACTGCTTTCAGCATGGTGGTACCAAACCTGTGGAACTCCCTGCCAACTGAAATTAGGCAGACACCCCTCCTTGCTGAGATTCAGATACGTGACTAAAACTTTCTTGTTCCAGTATGCTTTTTAAGGTAGTGTTCAGTTGTATGATCAATTGCTCAGAATAGTAATATTTTGTTGAAATGAAGTTCATTTCTTACATTGGGAGGCAGTTTGTCTAGACAAAGTCCCTTCCAAACTCTCTGGTTCTGTGGTATGGATTCAGCTAAACAGTTGCGCTAGTGAGAGGAGTGCACTACTACGAGAACAATCTCCCCTCTTCTCCCCCATGGGCCCCCCAAATCAGCTCTAGGGGGTCAGGAGAGCCCTCAAAACTCACAGGGGGGAGGCAGCAAGATCGTTCCACCTAGCAAGCTGAAATGCTTATGCTGATGGAGCCATGGTAATAGCGCAACAGTGAAGTCTACCCTCTGATTCTATTACCACCTTCAAAGCTCTGAAAAGCTATAGGCTATATACATGTCTGTAGCCTATACATAAAGCTGTAAACCTAGAGGATTAATTTGTCATCCTGTTTATAACTTAATGACTGCAGTCCAAGCCAGAGGGATGACTCAAGAAATGTTCCGCTGAAAGATGTCATAGCAAAACCATATGCCCATCTCAGCCTCCAAGGTAACTTGAATGGACACTGCTTCGCTAAAAGTATTTACTTAGGTATATGACCCTGCAAAGAGGGTTGGGCATTATCTCATTCGGCAATAATCGCCATCTGTTGTTGACCTCTCTTTGGTTCCAAAGTTGACCTTTGCTCAGTGTCTGGCCAGCCAAAAAAGCTTTTGGAAGATTGTGTTGAAATTCTTGCAGTGTAAGGAGTCTCAAAAGATTTCATCCAGTGGTATTCAAACATTTATCTGGGATGCATACCAGACTTGTTTTTTAAAAAATATATCCTAAAACTCATGCAGCACTTTTGTGGGTCATGCAGTGCACTGAAGATGATGTCATAGATGGAGGTGCATAAGACTATAAAGAATCAACTCCACCAAGACCAGAGTAACCCGTGAAAATCAGTTCACCTAGGAAGTTAGAGAGCCTTAAAACAAATGGATTTCATGTATATTTCAATCGTTTCAAGATCACTCTTGCTTGCAGGTGCCTGGTAGAGTGAAATAAAATATCCATCTCCTGCAACTTTCACAAACCCCTTGGCACATAATGGCAGGGGTGAATGGAGAGCTGTATTCCAAACCATCTTAGCATTGGTGAAGGCTTATCTGCCGCATAATTCTTATTTGTCTTTCTTTGCAGTACTTGTACTGTACTTTTCAGTTTACCAAGATGCTTATTTCAGGGATTTACATGTGATGATTTACTGGTGTCTTTATTATTAAATGTCCCATCTCAAATCCTTCGTACTGTGATAAATATGTTTGCTCTTACATTTGCCTGTTTCAGTTGGGCAGCGCAGGCCTGCTTGCCAAACAGTAAAGGATATGTAAGATAGCAGTTGTTAGATATCTAAACAAGTTTATATTTAGTTTCAAACTGCTGCTTGAAAAATGAGAAAATTTTTGCATCGTATGTCTGCTTGAAAGACTGAGGCCCCATTTAACATTTGCTGCTCACTCCATCTCAGGTTAGGCTTAACTAATGGAAAAATAACAAAAACAAGCAATATACAGTGAATAATTGTGAACACACAGTAATAAAATATGGCACAAACAGGCTGCGGTGCTTGACTCTCTCTCACATTGTCCTTATGGATGATGGTGACAGACCACCCCTTCCCTACCCCCTGACACCATCTCCTGGCAGAAGACCAAGGACCCATGGTCAGCAGGCCAAAGTGACTCACACATGTTAACTTCAAGCCAATGGGCTCAATAACTACCAGGGAAACAGGCTTTAGAAGAAACCCAGTTCCATTTTTGAAATCTGGGAGCATTAGTATCAGCTTTCAAACCAGCACTGTGTGTTGCAATACACAATCGA